ATTTATGACTCGGCCTTAGATCTCGTCTTCACAAACTTTGATCATGCAGATCTTAAAATTATAGTTTTGCCCACTTATTTTGGTGATCACTTTCCAGTCTGTTTGTCTTTTCCTAAAAATTGTCTTTAAATTTTTATTACAGATTATAAGACAGATTACTCCCAAATTTCATTTAACCTTATGTACTTCCAACCACATATACAGCTAAACACATGTGCAGATGTTTTATAGAATGATACTTCAAAAATATAATATCACACTCATTTCAGTTTTGAAGAGTCAAAATCCAATACAACATGTCCCTCAATACATTTCAAAATCAGTTAATATGACACATCAACAAGCAACAGATTATACCGGACCAAATGCGTCCACATTTCCTTTATCAAGTTATACTTATTTACTTTTTACACAAAATAGTAATGAGCACTATCATCAAATTAGCATGTGAAACTCTTAATTCCAAATTTCTTCAACTTCATAATACTATAAATTGACAAATAATATTTGCTTACTGAATTATTTTATTTATTTCAATTCTAAGTTACACAATTGGTCATACATTTTCACACATTATTGTGCTCTTCTTTACTTTTATAAAATTATAGATCTACACATTATATTGTAAATATGTTTGTATCTCATATTTTACATACATGACGAAAGCAATCATATTAAAGACAGTCATAGTTCAAGTTCAAACCATATTCTTGTTTCACTACCAATTTAATGAGTAGATTTGTTTGGTGAAGAAAAAAAAACAGGTTGCTTTCTAAAATCAGCATAATCAGTTGACATTTACAGTAGTTATTATTTTGATATCATTTTTTTTTCACCCATTGACATTTTCAGTGGCTTATATATATCCCGTAAAACTGGATCACTTGCTACCTTAATGTTAAATGTCTTTAATAGCAAAACATCAAAGAAAACCTTAACATTATTTGGTGCACTTTTTGCTGTCATGTTTCAGCATTTGTCAGTTTTGCTGGTTTGTCTCCTGTATGGTGTCTGTATTTGTCAGCTTTGCTTTCTAATCAGTTTCAGTGTGCCAAACACATTAAAAAACTAACCAAATTGAGCAATGACAAATCTTCATGTGATTCATATGTCATCTTACATATATTTCTTTATTTCAGAAAGGAAAATACCACCTACTTGGAGAATATTTATGTTCAGTTGAAACTTCTTTCCATGGGGTTTATGGAAACAAGACTAGGATAGGATTTCTCTTCTTACTCATAGTATGAAGACAGAACAAAAAATGATATAATTTAATTGACACTGTTGGAGATATGTCATTTGTGAAGTTGAAATGTTCATTCTTCGCACTCAAGAACACTCAGTATACTTAAACAAGAAACAATGTCATGTACAGTGTTTAAATAACACCACTTTTTGTACCTCTGATTCACAAGACTATTTAGAGTTAATTATTCAAGTTTATTCATTTTGACTATGTAAATGTTGGTTGCAAAAAATTTTTTTTAAAATTTGTGGCTTGTAGGGCTTGAATGATTTTGATTGTTTTTTATAAAGGATAGCAAAACAGAGTTTCTCCTTACGTTTCTTATTTTGTGAGTACAGTTAATTCGAAGTTGAAAGTAAAACAGATGTGTAATAAAAATATTTGTCTTTACTTAGATATGAACAAAATGTTATTTTCCATGGCTATTATGAACCCCTGGTTTTGTTACAGACATGCTGTTCTGGACTAGCACATTCCATTCTGGTCACATTTAGAAATGCTTTGTATTCTAAGAGTCATATACCTTATGCTGATTAATGTGTAATGTACAAGCTATACATTTTATACTTTTTTGCTTTGATTAATCATTTATTATGCATTAATGCAATTTCTTAAATTTTCATTTTTCTCATTCCGGTATTTTCAAAGTATCTACTTGTCTCTCATGAGCCTGAAGCCTTATGATTCTTACATTTTACTTACATCGGTAATACCTGTTGAGCTTAATTAAAATTTGATGTTTAATTTTCAGTTAACCATAATGTACTTTTGCATCAGCATTGGCAGTAGCATATTTTATACATTGTTATTTCCTGCTTTTTGTCTGTACATTTGACAGCTTTGCTGCCTTGTTCTTCATATTGAAGATCAGATTAAATTGTAATATTTGCTGTTAAAAAGGTATGACGGTTTTAATAACAAATGTAAATTTCACAATGTTTCTTCACTAGGTGACAAAGATGACAGAAAACANTTTAAGAACTAAGTTCCTTTAAGGACAGTATTTGACACCTGGTCTGTGGAATAACACGAGACTTAAATTTATCAACTTAAGTATAAATACAATGCATTTTTTCCAACTCCAGGTGTCAGAAATTGCTGTACTCTTAGGACTCATGTGCAAGTATTCTTGTGAAGCAAGCAAGATGGTTATTTATGGGAATAGCAGTTATCTTGAAGTAGACTTGGAAAAAGGAACCATACTGGACAACATGCAGAGTGTACTGGGATCAGCATTTGTGAGTAAACATAACATATCAAAACTTATCACACATAGGGATGTGCAGTATTTTGTTAAGATAATTGACAAGTGAAAATTCATTAATTAATTTTAATTCAGTTCCTTATTTATGAAGCTCATTAACATTTTTAATCATGGTCTAAATTGCAAGGAGTCCATACAAATATTTTATCACATGTGTATACATGTACTCACAGTTTAAAAAAGTTAGGGGAAAAATGTTTGATAATATGAGGTAAAATGTTTTAATTGAGTTCCATGTGTTACTTTGTACTTTGGCAAATTTCTATTTCTTTCTGCATTAGATGGTGAACAATCAACAGGATACAGATGCAGTAGTTCCAGATGGGATCCTTAGGGACCTTTTGAGAGACAGAACAAAGGTATACATCTGACCCTTAAATCTTGAGTCCGTCAGTAATGCCATTGTATATTGATGGTGTTTATGAAAGTTTATTTTGTAAATATTGGTGAATTTTTTAAATGATCCTCATTACATGTTATGTAATATTTAGATACTAGACTTGTGTTTTATATTTTGCCCAATACTTTGGCTAAATGAAACCTTCATAGGTATTAATTTTACAAATATATCACCAAGTTAGCGAAAAAGTTCGGATTTAAGCTAAAACCAAATTTCTTCCAGTACAAGCCCTTCTTCATCACTGTTTTTTCACTGTGGAACACAAACAATATTAAAAACCGTTGCCATTTCAATAATTTTTTCCCTTCAGGTTGACAATCTTATTATTCTGTCTGATGGGATGAGCCTAGAAAGCGTAGAGGGCCAAGATGTGTCAGACTTCTTAAAGAAATACAGAAGACTGGTCAATCCAAACATGTTGTTTGTTAATGTTGACCTTGGTGGAAAATCCTCTGGGTAAGTATGACCTTATTGGATCTTGCTTTGAAATGTTCCATTATTAGGTGATCCTGTATGTAAGTATAATGACCAGTCAATGAATAAAGTGACAGAAATATAGCAAAGATTCTTGTATAAATATGTATGATTTTATTGAAGGGACATTCAGTACTTTAATTACTTTTGACATCAGCCAGCATCTGTTGTTAATGATATCTTGTACCTTTTTAGATTCAGCAAAAGTGTTCAGCCAGAACATGATAATGATATTTTCATTGCTGGATACAGTGACCAGATTCTGAGGTAAAAAGTTATTTCTTTTTTAAATGATATCTTTCAGCTTTTTAGGCTGTTCTTGCCTTTCTGTATGTTATGCATTGTTGTCTTATGCAGTATAGCTGATTGGTATATATCAAATACTAAAATTGTCAAAGAGATTTTACCAAGAATGCTTCCTTTAATTTTGCTTTGAATACCATGGCTCAGAAGGATTGTTGTTTTTGAGAAAAGTATGTGAGATATTTTGCTGTTGTTCCAGATTTATAGCTGAGAGAGGTGAGAGTGGTCAGTTGACCCATATAGACAAGATAGATGAGAAGTACAATCTGACTGCAAAGGTGCCTGGGTTGGAGAAGAAACCATGTGCAGTTAAGCCAGCAGTAGAACACCCATTGCCTATTGCTGCTCTGAAACCAAGGTGTGCCTTACAACTATTTTTGTTTCATCATTGTTTTAAGAAATATTTTTAAGAGTGAAATAATATAAATACTTGGCAGTTAACATATTTAGTATAGGGCCATTCGAGACAAACAGTTCACAAGTTGGGGAGAAATACCAGTATGATATATTTTAACCAAAAGGGTGAATGTGTTCTATATGCAGTTTGACCTCAAGGATTCACATATTTCATAAAAAGACACCATCCTGGCAGTGATATAAACTTGATATATTGATGTATTGATATCATTCTTTGTGAGATAAATCACTCGTTAGTACAGATGTACAAATGTATATCTATGACATGTTTTCAGATGGAGGACAGCCAGAGTGTTCATATCTTCCACCTTCCGTGATATGCATGGGGAGCGTGATTTACTCACACGCTTTGTCTTTCCTGAATTGCGGGCACGTGGAAAGCAGCACTTCCTTAATGTGTATGAAGTGGACCTGAGGTGGGGAGTCACGGAGGAGGACACAATAAGCAATAAGTATGTTGGGTTATAATTTTGTTCAAGGTTTTCTAACGTATGGTGTCATTGTTGTTTATAAGAATATGCCATTGTCTACTGTAGTACCTAGACAGAGGGCTTTGATTTTCTATCAAAAGTTTTGCATTTATAATGCATAAAAAATTATGATCAGGGATGAAATTTTTCCGACAGTTGACAGATTCCAACTTTTGGGGAGCCAAAAACATGATTAGCCTAGGCAGACCCCTGGGCAATTTTCTGACTATTTCACTAAATGGCATTTTCAACCCTATAAGATGTTTAAGTCCAAGTAACTTTGTACATTTTGTGTCTGTTGTAGGACTCTTGAACTTTGTTTGACTGAGATCACCAAGTGTCAGTTCTTCATTGGCATCCTTGGTGAGAGATATGGATGGGTTCCTGACAAGTATGTTGTACCAGACAGTCCAGAGTTTGACTGGGTTAGAGAATATCCACCAGGTTGTTCTATCACAGAGCTAGAGATGCACTCCGCATGCATGTCAAACCCAGAGGAAAAGAAAGACCAGGCTTTTTTCTTCTTAAGGGATAAATCATGGCAAAAGTATATATGTTTGTTGTCTTTGTCTTTCCCTAATCATTTTAAAAATTTTTTTTGACTAAAATTAATTGTTTGCTGATTCAGTTTTAAGCAATGAAATTAAAATTTTGATTAACACATACAGTGCATTCTCCAGTGCAGTGTGAAGTCCAAATTTAATATTTGCAATTTCAGGGACCTTCCTAAGAAATATTTGCAAGATTTTGCTGCAGAGTCACCGTCATCAGCTACCAAAATGGAGGCATTGAAAGAAAGAATCAGAAGCAGTGGACTGGAAGTTTTTGATGGGTAAGATACAACAAGTGAATGTGTAGCAGCATTTAACAGTGAAGCAGCATTTGAGCAAACTCGACCTCATTTCATACTTTCATTTGGAATCTATAACACAGTGGAAATCGAATTGAAAATACTTGTAACAAAATGAAAATTAGACTGAAAAAGCTTGGATTAAAGTTTTTTAAAGAATAAATAAGTTTTTGTATTGAATTCTGTGAAATAAATCTTTATCAAGGAGATTTTCTGCTTCCTCCAAGCTAACTGTCTTTTCATCTATTCATGTCAGCTACCCTTGCAAGTGGGGTGGAGTTGTTGATGGGCAGCCAATGGTTAGTGGTTTGGAAGACTTCGGCTTCAGAACACTCAACTGCTTATGGAATGCTGTAAAGAAGTTCTTTCCAGATGAGGTAATGTAATAATAATAATAGTAATCAAGTTATTACAACCTAGATATTTGTTTCTTGTTATTTCACAGAATATCATGGAAAGAAAATTTACTGCCAAATTTTTGTTTGACTGACTTTTAAAACTTCTGCATTGAAGATGTTCTTCCATGCATTTCTGTGCTACTGTTGATTATTAAATGATACGGCTTAAACTGATGGGATTCCTTATCAGCCGTTTGACCTACAAGCCATATTTATCTACATGTAGGATGCTGTGCTAGATGAAATCTCTCATGAGACCTCTCAGCACGAGGCCTTCTTGGAGGCCCGTGTCAGCAGCTTCACTGGGCGTAAAGCCCAGATGAAAATGTGCCTGGAGAGACTGAGAACTATGAAGGAAGGCATCCTCATGCTTTCTGGAAAACCTGGATGTGGAAAAACATCTCTTGTTGTAAGTTATTTAAAATGTATTTTGAAATCTTGACTGTGTGAATAGTAGTTGCAGATTTTGTTACTGTGACTGTCTGTACATTTTGATTGCTTCTATTGTCAGTTTAAATTTGCATAAAGTGTGTTGTAGCTCACATCAGCTTGTTAGTTTATATGCCCTTACAGTTAATATATAGTGTCTGTGAACTTCTTTTGCACATTGTCCTGTGTGATAAACATAAACCCAGATATAGGGATATTTTCTATTGATTTTTTTCAGGCGAGTTTGATTTCACAGTATGATGCAGATATAGGTGCCAAGACCCACTTTATTCACTTTGTGGGTGCCACCCCAGAGTCCACCAACATCACATTTGCCCTCAAGAGACTGTGTACAGAGTTGATCAGAAGATTTGGCCTAGAGATGGATGTGCCTCAAGATTACAAGTAAGGAGTTTTGCAACATATTTAGAGATATATCAATGTATTTTGGTTACTACAGAAAAATGTCCATTGAAAAAAATCAGTGAGGCTTTTTAACATTAATGTTGTACAGTTTTCTTTTGTCAGAACCTCTTTAATCAGCATGCTGACGTTGGTTATTGAAATTTTGTATTGCAGGAACCTTTGTGGCGAGCTGAAAACTATTTTGACAGAGGCTAGCCAAGCCAGTGGAAGTCCTCTACTCTTGGTGTTTGATGGTCTGGAAATGCTGGAGGATTATCACCAGGCTCGCTCTCTCACCTGGATACCTGAAGAGATACCTGAGGTATGAGCATCATGAATGGGTGTAAATTTTTCAATAGGTCCCTTAGTGCGTTATGCATTGTAAAAATGTGTAGAGAGACATGATAAATATCCAGCTCTCAAAAACCTGCACTTTCCTGTGCTCTGTGTAGACATGGTTGCCCTTTTATAACTCCTAAATTCGACGTAGCTGTATTAGTCTAGGGATGTTCAGGTTTTTCACCTTGAGTTCTTTGGGAATGAAAACATTGCACTTATATAATTAGCATAGATTAAGTTTCTAGAATTCGACATTTATGCTAGAAACTCTCCCCAGCACAGTTTATGAATAATTTCGTGTAGTGGTTGTAGAGACTATTTTGCAGAAAAGTCTAATATTCAGATTTTGTAAAACTTCACCACTAAATGTTTCTATAAAAGACTCACACCAGCAGAGTTGCCCTGGTACATTTCTTTTCCAATGTGACTATGTTTATTTAACAGATTTACCATATAGGTTTATAATGTAAGTAGTGTCAAGTTAGGTAAGTGGACAGGTTAAGGTGACCTGCCTTGAATTCCTACCGGTAGTCTCAACAGATTTTTCAAACCACTATTTTCCTTTCTGACCAGATTGAAATGCCTTAAAATTTTCATAATAATGTATTTTTATGTTTAAGCACATTTAACATTTTATTTCAGAATGTTATATTCTTGATGAGCACAGTGGAGAATTCAGAATGCCACAGAGCCCTCAGCAGACGACAGCATAGCAGTGTGCAGTTGTCTGGCCTTGACCTTTGGGACAAGCCTGAAGTGGTTAGGAACCAATTGGCCAGACACAAGAAAACATTGGTGGAGACAGGATTTAATAATCAGGTAAATATTGAGTAGTTCCAATAGCTGCTTTATTCATTATAAGAAATTGATGATTGCTGTATGCTTATCTAAATGAAAGCTGTTCATGTAGGACTTTGAACTATGCAGTATAATACACATGGCAAGTGCTGTTAAATTCTTATCATATGTATTTATATATTTTAGATGAAACTGCTGACAAGTAAGAGAGAAGCTAACAACCCACTTTTCTTAAACCTTGCTTGTGAAGAACTGAGGGTGTTTGGTGTGTATGAAAAGGTAAGTTTCTCCACTGGCACTCGTGCCCTGAAATGTTAGCAAAGTTATGACAAACTTATCAATAGTTTTAGACTAAGAGCTTGTGGTTCAGTTTATCTTTTATTGTGTCAAAATTAACAAGACCACTCTATAGGCACCTAGACATTAAGAAAGGAAAAATACAATAATTATTTCAGATCACTGAGAAACTAAAGAGTCTCCCCCACACTGTTCCCCTGCTGCTACAGGAGGTGTTGGCTAGACTTGAGCAAGACCATGGTCAATTACTTGTGTCCACTGCACTGACCTTGCTGGTTTGTGCACGGAAAGGTGAGTGATAGGCAATAGTCTGATCTGATCTTGACCCATTTTCACCAAGGTATGGCCAATGGGGCCTTTTTTTTTTCTGAGAACAAAGATTTTAGTCTATTTCCAGGCCAGATAATAGAATTATCATTGGGCTTTCACATACAATAAGTCATTATTTACTTTCTGTAAAAGAGGCCCATTATTACCATTTTGATGAACTACTGGTAGACAGGGTTGCAATTCTTGCCTAAAGCAATTTAGTCAACAGATTGAACAAATTTAAATCATTTTTTAGTCCCTTTAAATCATCAAATATTTTCTTTCCTCTCCAGGTCTCTTTGAGGAAGAGCTCCACATGCTTCTCAGTTACCACCAAAAACTACAGCATGTCAAGTACACTGTTCAAGATGTGTTAAATGTTCCATTGGAACCAGAACATCAGATTCCTCAGGCAGTGTTTGCACCACTGCTTAGATCACTGAAGACCTTCCTCAGACCAGTGACTACTACAAGGTTGGTGAATGGCAACTGAAACTCATTCTAGCATTAAATGTTTTATGTTGATACAAGTGCTACTTTAATTTTACCCAAACTTGTTTCTGATTTAGTTGAAAGTTGGTTATTTTGGGAAAATGAACATGATGGATGACTTAAACTTTAAAAGATACACTTTGTGTAAGGTCAAACTGCAGGTCAAACTGTGGATTTTGCAATGTAAAATTGTTCTAACTAAATTTTAAAGTGCATTGACACAAAAAAGGTAACAAACCAAGAAAACAATATCAAGTCAAAAAGGGTTAGGAATAATTATTGTAATTTTTTTCTAAAATTCCAACCATTCTTTGTATTTTTCAGTCTTTTAAGTCTGGCCCATGCAGAGATAGAGAGGTCTATCAGACAGAGGTACATGAGAGGAAGTTCTACAGAACTGGAGATCATGCTTCACAGACTCTTGGCAGGTATACTGGCATTAACAACAGTTGCACTCAATCCATAGTCTGTAACTTCGTATTGTGCTATTGATCTAGTGCTCCTGGGAATTTCAGTTTCAGTTGCTGTCCTGTCATTAAAATTTTATTGCAAGATTTAACCTTATTGAGTATTCCTGGAATCCCTTATATTTGTTTACATACTATTTAATGTTATAGCATTTTTCCATACTTTCAGTTGTATGTAATTGATGAGTCGGATGTGTCAGTATTCATTATAAAGCAGCGGAACCTGCANTGCTTTTTGTCTGTACACTTGACAGCTTTGCTGCCTTGTTTAATGTTACATGTACCATGGTTACTTGCCTTTATTAGAATATTTCTCTTTATAATATCATTGGGAAATTTTCATTTCTCTGATTAAATGATGCCAATGCATGCACTATTACATGTTTTGCTTGATGGATAATTTCTATATTTCAGGTAATTAAAAGCCATCTTTACAAAAATATGTCATCCAGTGAACTTGCTTTGTTTTATCTGCCTTTCTGCATGAAGGTATGCTTCTGTTGTTAATTAGAAATAACTCAACATTTTGAAATGCTTTCTGCTGTTTAGGCATCCATTTATTATATTATGATTATTGTTATAAAAATACACTGCTAGAGAGAGATCAATAAAGTAAATTGAATTTTAATTTAAAAGAAATTCATTTAAGATTTTAGGGACATTGAGTTTATCTTTTCTTCTGTTAGAGTCATCTTGGTGATGGCTTGTTCACAAAAAATGAGGAAGAGTTGTTATTGTCTCATTTGATGAATCGTCTCAATCATCCGTCTCTCAGTGCTGGCCAGAAACTGCTGTTGTATGACTGGGTGATGCATTTCCCTGACCATAAGGTAATGGGAAATGTTCTGTGAAGTGTAGTTGTTGAAGCAGATAGCACATATTAATATCTTTACCTAGACCCACTCTACCTGGCATAAGGCCATCTTTTTGAGAATAGATTTCAGAAACTGCAGTTAACATATGTATGGTAACAAATTGGGTAAGAAATTGAGTTTTTAAATGTTCTATAATATATATAAGAATTGTTGAATAGGCTGTTGATTGAATGCACTGATACTTTGCCTAAGACATCAGTGTACCCACCTCCCTTCCGATTATTTGTATGAGGAGAATGAAACAGTATTACCAAGTGTACAATCTTCTTATATCAGGGTGTGGTGAGCCAGGATCCCAGTGTGCCTTACCTTCTACAACCATCCCAGTATCATCCATTATTTCCCAGGGTATTTGATGGCACGGACACACAACTCAAGAAAATCAGTATTCTAAACCTCTGTTACTCACCATCAGACCAGCCAGGTAGTTCATACTGTGATGTTTTTTATTAAAATTTGTATCTGTATCAAGATGATGGGTTGCACTATATTTACATCAACCAAAAGTGTGTTTTTTTTTTTTTTTTTTTTTTTTTTTAGCTTTAAGGCCAATTATATGATGAGATCCTTATAATATACAGTATCCAATGCTAATAAATACGCACATTCCTTATGGTTAAGCTATTAGATCCCCTTTGAATGTTGCTTTGGAGTGTGCAGCTTACACTAGTTAAAATGTTTATCTAAAAATATTTCAACTGTAATATTTCAGACTCCTCTTCTGCTGTCCTAATGAGTGCAGTGAAGTGCCTACACAAACTTGTACAGTATGGAGTGACTGGCAGAGCAGCTGTTGCACTTTTCAGGGCTTTGTTCTTCTTTTACAAGAGGCACCATAAGTCTTGCTTGGTGGCTGACATACAAAAGTAAGTAATTATCATTTTTGATTTCATTACATTAATTTTTTCTCATTTTATTTATTTATTTATTATTTTTCATCTTGGAAAATATGTAATTTTTGAGTTGTCATTTTGAATTGTTGGTTTGGAAAATATGTAATTTTTGAGTTGTCATTTTGAATTGTTGGTTTGAATTGTAAATGTATATTCTATGCATATTTTTATTTTCATTTTGAATTAATACTCCATATTAATGATAACATTTCTAGTGGCAAACCATTATATATGAATCCTCATTGTTCTGTGTTTTATTTTAATTACTGCATTAAAGGTTCCTGACTGGCATAGTGACAGCTCATCCCAAGTTTGCTCCTCACTTGATAGACTTCCTAGCTTGTTGCAGGGAAACACACCCAGAAAGGTATCTTTAGTTTTTTTCGTAATGCACATGACATAAACTATGTTCTTAATGCATTAATGTCTATATTTCCTGTCATTATAAATATGTATTACTGAAACTAGGACAAAAAAGCCTGAATGCTTTTCTGTCATAAAAATGCATCTCAATGTTGTTTCATTATTAACTTGTCTAAATGTTTAACGCCAAAATTTGGTTTTTGCTCCTCAGTTCTCTTCCACTGGCTGTGTTATCCGCTCTCTCCAATCACATCGTATCTCTGCCAGAGACGCAGGTGATGGAAAATCTACTTTACAACCTCCAGGTTCTAGAGAGGGCTGCACAGGAACCAGGCATAGCTCCCAAGGTGGGTACATGGTAGTAGTATAAGAAAGAGGAGGATAAGGTTTTCAAACATTTTTTTCTATATTTTTTATTAAAGTATTGGTTCATGATCTTTTCTACTGAACTGACAAATGGTGACATATATATATATATATATATATATATATATATTTTTTTTTTTCATATAAATTAGAAATTTTTTTTTTTTGTTGGCATTTTTCCAATTCTCGTGGTACCCAAACCCCTGGTCATACACGTAAGCCCACCAAGCAGTTTTTCCTACTTTTTTTTCCTTAAAACCCAAATATCATCTGCAGTAGGCTGGTTTTGTTGTCATAATTTTTGTCTCTTCTTTTAATTTCTAAATCAGCCCATTGTTGAGTTTTGCATATCCCTGTTGAAGACTACTACTCTATGTGTGGAAGGCAACTGGAGGAAAGGCAATGGGCTGCTTGCTGTGTGTAGAAGCATACTGCAGTATCACAATACAAACCCTGTACATGTGGGTGAGTTGTGGGTGTAGGAAAGTATGATAGTGTATTATATTATGGTGACATGTGGGTTACGTAACCATCAGCAGCAGGAAAGATGGAACTTGTGACCACTACATGCAGTGGTTAATGTACTTAATAGCCAAGAGCATTTAAGGGCAAATTTTTTTGTTGCTGTGTTTATCATTTACTTCTTGATCTTTGGGTCCAGTTTTACAATATTTTATTTGTCTTTAATATATTTGCTTGACATGATTTGATTTTCTGATAAGTTTTATTAACAGAACATATCTAGATGATAGACAACATCTCAAGGATTTGTATGTAATCCCCAAAATTATGTTACCTATTTTCAGAATTTGGAGATCTTCTATATCTAATTTTTACCTTCTTTGAGGAGGTAGACATCAGAGACAGGGCCAGGTTCTACTATGCAGTCTTGACAAATCTTTCCAGTGACAAGGTAAGCAGATATTTCATATATGAACTCGTACATCTGCTGCTGCTAAACTTAAACTTTCACATGTCCCTTATGAAACTGCCCCATGGGTCTTGTAAGATGTTGTATAGGAATTTGGTCAAAATTCCTATAGGATCTTATGGGACATACATATATGCCCTAGATAGAATCTAGATATGATCGAATTCCTATAGAGTCCAATCATATAGGAAACTTTTGGAAGGGGCGGCACTCTTACCCTCTTCATGATATTTATACAAAATTCTCATCTATATCTCTTACGTAATCTGAAATCATCCCATAGACAGATACAAAGAGTGCACATTTTGTGAAAATATGTGAAAATTTCGATTAATACTGATTTCTAAGAGGCACACAGAGTTTAGTAATTTCCCTGCATTGGTATTGCATGGTATTGCATGTACTGAAACACTGATAATCAATTGTCTTTTACATTACAATGAGTTAGAAAAAAGACCTGTTTTCACAAATTTCAATGTTCTTAGAAAATACATTAGTAACCCAGAATATTTGCATTCAGAGGATAAAGGGTCCAGATTTTGATGAAAATTTCTGTTATGTGTTCCATAAGCAATCTAGGAAAAGTTACTGTTTGTAGTAGACCAATTAAAAAAAAGAAGACTTATGGCATTGACAGGTCTACAGTACATGTACAGTATGTAGCTCATAAGCCAAATGTCTGGCATCCAAACTTGCACATTTATATGTTTCAGTATAGCAAACTTGTATCCTTTTGCTGACTGTATACAATGTTTTCTTTTATAGACATCTGGAATATTACTAAACCCTGTTACCAACAGCAACACAGCCTCTCAAACTTTGACCAGCCTGATGACAGGTAAGGCAGGATTTAAGAACATTAGAACACCCATACGAAAAAGTCCTATAGGATCCTATAAGATCCTATAGGATTCTATAGGAAATTGGCCCAATTTCCTATAGGATCCTATAGGATCTTATAGGATCCTATAGGACTTTTTCGTTAGGGCAGTGATTAGAGATGCCAATTATATCAGACTCAACAAATATTGGCTTATCTGCAAAAAAAAAAAGCACAAAAAAATCACAGATTGATTCATACTTTATATGACTGCTTAACTGCTCATTATACATTTGAGCTGTATAGATTTTAGATTTGATTATATTATTATCTACAAAAACTACATTTCAAGAGTGTAGTTCTTTGTTTATAACTTGATAAGGCACCTGTTTGAAGAGCTTGTCAGAACCGAATAGCATTATATATTGCCCTTTATTTCAAAATTGATACTGAGCCATCTAGTCCAGTAGAACTGTTAATGAGGTACAAAGTGTGTCATAATACAGAGCATGGCATCATATATGGTCATTTTATATTTTCTTTAAAGGCATGTTAATACAAGCGCCACCTTGTTTGCTAATGAATAGACTATAAGGTAATCATTCAATCTTTTCAATGGTGGGCATATTGTGAATACAGTATTTTTAAGACATAATTTCATAAAATTAAAACATTCCCATGCAACAAAACAAAATTGCAACAAAATTAAAAAGCAGGCTACCATATATTTCAATTCTATGCTGTAAAAGAACCACAAATGCTACATAGAAATATAATTTTTGTGATCACAAAACTGAAAGTTTGATCACTTTTGCCCATTGAAAAGATCAAGTTACTGTGGTATTTCATTTCACAGTGTTATTCATGTCAGAAGAAATACTGAGTACTTTATCATAAGAGTATATTTCAGCAACTGCAAAAATACTGAAATGCATATTCATCATCAAACTGATTTTACTTTTACATCTTGTTATCTGACAATCAGAGTTGATAATTATTACCCAAATTCCTTGTTTTATGCAAAGTTTAAAAATGCAATGCATGAAACCATTTACTTGCAAATGTCTAAAATGAAGACAAAAATAGGTGTTAAATAAACACACAGTTTAATTAGACTGATCTGCAGTTTGGAATGAGATAGAGATATTGTTAAATAGCCCTTGGGTGCCTTTACAAATAATACTTAAAATTTGTGCATTTAGGACCTCAGGCTTCTTTGTTGCCAAAATCCCATTTGCAGTCATTTTATCTAAAGAAATGCACTTTCATGTACATGGATTTGTGGCTGAATAACGCACACTGTACAGTAATGGAAAAATAGACAGTTTACATTAGAAGACAATGCACAGTGTACAAGGTGCTACTTCACGATTGGATCGGAAATTAAATTAAGCAAACATGAAAACAGCATTTTGAGTTTTACAGCTTATAAGCATTTCATATTAACTGACATGAAAATCTTTTTCTGAAGTCTGGAAATATTGCATGCATGTGTAGCACATAATTGGTTTAGGACAGTATTATATACAGTGTGAATTGGAAAAAGCAACTATGGCAATGAGGCCTATAAGTAGGAAGGGGGGGGGGGCAAAAGAACCGACCTTTTTAATGGAAAAAGTCCACTCTGAATCAAAGGATGTGATTAAGGAGCTATACCATTCTGTAAGTTGGGTCAACTAAGAGGGTGAAAAGGTTATAGAAAAAGAAGCCCTCCACGAAATTGCTACAAGCCTGGTATTAGTTTGTGTTAGACCATGCACTGATACAGACTGTTGGGCAGGTCAAGTCAGTCTTTAAGTCCAGATGCCACCCTTGTCTTGCATGGTTTTCCCTCAATTTTTTTCTGCTCTGCCTTATTGTTGTCGAAGAACAGGTTGATGTTGACTATATTGATTTGTTCCTTCACTTGGTATTCGCACCTTTGAGCCTTCTTTTCTATAACAATATAAAAAATTAGATACAATATAAACTGCTGCCAATTGCTGGAAGTCATTAAGTAACAGATACATTTGAGTTACTGGACTGAGAAAATATATCAATTGACATTTTTCTTCAACATATGTTTTTCTTAAAAGCACTTGGTATTTCAGGTCTTACTGCTACCTAGAACAGTTAAAGACAAAAAGCAAGCAAAAAGAAAAGACTAACAAATAAAAGAATAATACTGCATTAATTTCTTTTATGTTTAGTTTTCTATCTGCTCCAATAATAGGAACTATTTCTTCTCAAAATGGGTTTTAGATTAAAGAAAAAATTATTTTACATTTTGTGTATGTCTCTTTATGAGAACATTTTAAGATGATGTCGACCACATCCTATTCTTTCATTAATTTGATTACACTCTGATCTCTAACACAAAGATGAATCCTGAAGGCTAGACTTAAAATCAATCCATTTCAGATTCAGGCCATCAGATCAAATAAATGAGATCATTAGCTTGGAAATTAGGACTGTTAGTTTGCACTGTAGAGATAGAAGATAAGCTGGTATCTGTAAAGAAAAATCATCAAAAATAGAGGTATTAGTGTAAATGGTGTAGCAGGCTAGGGTATGGTTGCCCCTTACCTTGGCAGTTCTTCCTCCCCAAATTTCAGGTTCCGTGCTGAGACGGAGCCCAGGCTGTGTTTTGACAGGGCCTTGGTAAGCAAATCTGCAGAGAGCTGGCATGGCTGAACCTCCTGGGGTTTTCTGGATACTGTGTCAGGGGTTGGAGGGGGGACAGGGGGTCTGACGGGAGAGTGGGGCTCAGGAACTGCCAGGGAGCATTCAACCTGGGGCCACAGGGTCTCTACAGGGGCAGGTTTACGCAAAGATTTTTTGGCAGGGCACTCTTTTATAGGACTCAGTGGGACACTGCAATTTACAAAACCAACTTTTGATTTTTATTGTTTTGAATATAAAGGTATAAAAATATGGGTATCCTTTAAAGATGTGCGTTGTTTAAAACTATAAATTTTTCTGCCATTTTCATCAAACCAAAGATTAAGCATACAAACTAATAATTTCCAGTTATTAAAAAACTGAATATGACTGATCGAACTAAAGATAAAAATGCATGTTAAAAAAAATTAATTGAAAAATAATATAAATGCATTTTTTGTGGCCAAATTTAGTTTGAGCATGTAAACTATTCATTTAGAAAAATTAAAGAAATTGGGTTAATAAAATCAAGAACAGAAATGTATGTAAAGAAAAGTAAGATAGATACAGTGCTTGCAACAGTCAACTTGATGACAAAAAGAATTACCTGTCCACTTGTTTGTCATCACACTTGAGCAGAGCAAAGTTTAACTCCTCTGGCTGGAACTGAAACTCGGTAAGGGGCTGGTTTCCTGGTTGGTTGAGAAATGGTGTGCTTGGTGTTGGGGGTGGGGCACAAGGCATGTTCTTCTGAGAGCCCTGACAAGATAGTCTGGGTGATGAAGGGGATGCCTGACTGCAGGTTCTCTCCCTGTCTGACCCCAGTGCTGCACTTCCACTGGACACCTGGTCACATTTTGGCAATAGTTTTTGCTCATCTTGTACACATTTCGAAGGTTTGTGCTCCACATGAAGTGACACTGTTTTACCTTCTGAAGTATTCCTTTTGCTCCCAGAATGGAGAGTTATTTCATTAGTTGGTTGCTGCAGTAGCTTCTCCATTCCTCATGTACTTGTGACATTGATTAGATTGCCGGAGATTCTCTAGGCTTTGAAAAAAAAACCTGTGGGATTTAAATGCTAAACCTTTCTCATCACCAGTAATCTTTCCAGTGTCCTATATTTACTGACCTTTGTATATTTCCTAAGAACAATGGACTTTCAATAGACAACTCCCTCCCTAATTTGCAAGAACATAGCTCACTAAGGTGTAGCAGTTAGTAGGCTAAAATCACATGCTCAGTTGACTTCACTGCCTGAGGATCAGTACCATGGACAGTCTCTGTACAATAGAGGTGTGCATCCCTCAGATGGACAATATTGATTTGAGCAGTTATCAATGTTGATAAATTTGCCAGATGTTTCTGATCATTAGACTTGATACATGGCAGAACTGAGTGTGTGAGACTGAGGAGAGTGGTTCAGGGAGGTTGTTATATGAACAACAGCAACCACTCCATAAAGGCTTAAAGCCACTAATGTGCCACAACCTTTTATTGAACACAGTACTGCAATAGACCACAAAAGTCTTATAAGTCATCATCAGGGGACTGACTAACTATCACCTTTAGTATTATAGCTTACTAAAAATCCTCTGTGTACAGAGCATGAGGTTGCCATTAGAGATGGGCTAAAAAGGGAAAAAAGTATATAATCCACATGCAGTTTTCTGAATCTGTAGGACAGCTTATGGGAAACCTCGTAGGTTAAAAATATCTTCTTTATAAGTGATGATGACCATGTTGAAACCCTTCAAAGACCCTCACAGATATGGAAAATATCTATGGAAATCAATAGCAACTTTTTTCCAACTCATTGTCAATACCATGAATTTTCCTTATTATGATTGTCATTCAGTCATTCATGCCCCCTAAACAATGGTATGTTTTATAAACCTAGCTTTCTCATTATGAAAGATGTATTAAATATACTTTCTTTATTCTGAACTAGTCTGCATAGTGCATGGCACTAGTTAATATATATCTACAATGCAACATTTTTTGAGGAGTACCGTAGTGAATATTGACAGTAAGATACCTGTACATGTACCTCCCCCCTTTCCCACATATTAGGCAAGTGTGTGAGTGTTATTCACCTCAATACTGCACTCAGTACTATTCACTCTCACAGCAGCAGCTGTCATATATTCAGCAAAGGTATCTATCTAAATCACATTTGCTAAGTGAAAAAATGAGTTACCCAAGTGACTAAAGAATTTTGTTGTTGTTGTTACTGTTTTGTTTTCACTTATACTTTTGAAGTAAATTGCTTTGTCTGCCTGAAATATTTCTTATGATCTATTTACAAAAATTTACAAAAAGAATTGACATTTAAATTTGGATAAAATCTGAATATCACTATGAAAATAATCACATGTATGTATGTATGTATGTATGTATGTATGTATGTATACATCATGTTTTACCATTTACCCAGTGGTATGGTTATGAAAGGAGAATAATGACAATTTTCGTGAATTTTCATGGATTGAGCTTCCAATTTCCTGTGGATGACACTCATACTAATGGCTGTTATTACTAGATGGGTATATTGCAAGTAGGCAATAATTTTCATACATGTATTTATATGGCAAGTTTCTTTATCTCCCCATTCATTGATTAAGGAAGCCAAAATTGCCTCTCAATTTGCAGATCCATGTATATTAAGATAACTCTCTATAAATAATTTTTCATGTCAAATACTTATGAAGAGATGTTGTAAACTAGGTTATTAAGAGTGTCACGGAAATCCAGTTGATATGTTTGGCTGCGTAATCTAACATACATTGTATATTTTTTCATTGTACATGTGTGAATAGGTTTTGCAATGTTTACAGAAAGCACTTTCTACATTTCCTGTTAATAGTGAATGTGGACTAATAATTTGTTGATAAAACTTTTGATTATATTGTCTTGCTTTTATGTGCATATTATATATTACACATGTACAGTGACACAAGTAGTTTGTGCATTATGCTCCTATCATAACAATATAACGTAATTTGGAAAATAATATTTTTCATGATAAAAAATTTATGCAAAAGTAAATGAAAAACAGTATTTCATTTAATAAAGATAAGGATTTTTTTATTTTTGAATATGAATTAATTTTGATTTGTTCTCAGTGCAATGGTTGAAGTTAGTTTTGTTGAGAATGAAATTGTGAAGTTTTCTTGATAATTTGTTAATGATTTATTTCATTTTGATCAGGTATTTTTGTGTATTATTATATGATTTGTCCAAGTACTATTTGAACCAAGATCTTTCTGCTATATGTTCAGCAGAGTCCCTAAACTTAAACAGGCTGTGTGGCCATTATTGATTTGCTTTCCACAAATATCAGTGTTATGAGTGGAGATATAATGGGCTGCCTAGGTTTATCAATAATGAACACACTACCATGGCCATAGTATAAGGTAACAGACAGCTACACTTAAAATGATGGCAGAGAAAACCCTCTCCAGAATGCATTAAGTTACCTTTATTTTTTCCTGAAAGATTCAACCAATTATTAAACCACTTGCATAGGCAGTTCTCTCATTAATAGCACAAACATGTTTCTTATTTTAGCAAGTCGTGTCTTGTGGATTAAATGGTGATCATTATCAAACACCTGTTTTAAAAAATGTATACCAAGAGTGAATGCTTATTTTTACCAGCAAAATAAATGCAGATTTTATAAGTTTAATGTAATAAATTTTACAGTTCATAATACTTTCCATTTATGCAATGATAACTCATTTTGGCCATTTTCCTAAGTCAGGATATAGTCAGAAAAGAAGGATAAAGCTTTTGCTATATGAAGTCAGGTGGCAATGAGGCAATTCTGTTAGTTGAGCTTTATACAAAGCTCTTAAGGTGGCTTTGCAAATGCAATGTGACTTGCTCAAGCCCAGTGGGATTAAAATAATTCCATTGTACTGAAATAGTGACATCGTCTCTACAACATTTGAGAATCTCTGATTACTGAAAGCAAGGATATGTTCTCTGTAGAGTTTGTAAAAGACTACCAATAGATATTTTTACATTTGAGAATCTCTGATTACTGAAGGCAAGGATTTGTTCTCTGCAGAGTATGTAAAAGACTAACAATAGATATTTTTACATTGTTCTCTGCAGAGTTTGTAAAAGACTAACAGTAGATATTTTTACATTTGAGAATCTCTGATTACTGAAAGCAAGGATTTGTTCTCTGCAGAATATGTAAAAGACTAACAATAGATATTTTTACATTGTTCTCTGCAGAGTTTGTAAAAGACTAACAATAGATATTTTTACATTTGAGAATCTCTGATTACTGAAAGCAAGGATTTGTTCTCTGCAGAGTTTGTAAAAGACTACCAATAGATATTTTTATATCAAAGCAGGCACACCACTGACTAAATTGGAATCTGAGGTGAATGCTGCATTGATTCATCTGATTTATTTCACTGAACTGAATATTGTTAAAATCAATTTGTCTGAATAATCATTCAATTTTGTGATGTAAAAAAAAAGTGAAAATGAATTGCTCCCTAACCTTTTTCAGGGAGCACAAACTTCCCCACTGCTTCTCCTGTGATAACCAAGCAAGAGCCAGTCCTAAATCTCATCAGGTAGGGAAAGATAGAGATCAGCTGTCTTCTGGAACACAGTCAGAATTTTTACATTGACAGGCATCTTGATTTTGCTGTCAGAAGACAGTTAAAAAGTAGAGGATAGATCAACAAAGATAAATTGGAAGACTGTCAAAAAATATCTCCGGATCCCCTGGAGATGGTCATTATATTGTAGCTGTGTAGCTTACATGTATGTCTTATACATGGCAAAACTAATTTACTACTTCAGAAGTTAAAACATTTAGTTTTAAATCCCACTTTGAAGATAAATGTAACTAAAACTATGTCAGCTGCATTGCTGTAATAGTCTGAATTACTGTCTGCCATTAAGGTGCTCTGAGAATGAGGATGACAGTGAAGAAGGTGATATTTCCACCATTGGTGATGATGTAGAATCCACTGGTAAGTTGTATTTTTCTTTGTTTTTCCTTTATTTGCTGCTACTTAACATATCTTTTTTTTAAATTGTTATTCAAAACCTACAGTATGTGGCCAGAATACAGCAAAATGCATAACTGCTAATGGTATATTCAAAGAGACAAAAGAGACCCTGTTCTTTTTGAATTAATAACAGACAGTTGAAAAAAATTTACATTTTGATGTGTTAATATGTTTTGTTTTAAGAACTAAGCTTCCTGGTAATTCTTTGGGTTTAATTCTCTAGATTTTTCATTGATATACAAGAAAAGCCGATCCTTCACTGATACAAGAGTTACCCAAAATTTCCAGATAACATTGGTAAGAACACATCAGTTAGTTTCTTTATATTTTGAACAAATTTTCCTTAAAACAGTTATATTTTAGTACATATTAGAAAAAAACAAGAAATGGCCAAGCAAATTTTTATTGCTCTTTGTTGTACTGTTCAGAATTTATGATATAACAAGTCATGCTTTAGGTGGAGAGCATCCCAGAGTTGGAAGAAATCTATACATTGGTGCTGCATTTTACCACTGACAGTAATTATGAACCTGTAAAAGGTAGGAATGAAAGAGATCAGTTTTGTTCGCTTTACCATGACATGGCATCATTGGTATATTACAAATAAATTACATATGAAGTTTTATTACATATAGAATTTTAGCAACACCTGTTTTAAAAAAAGGCATGCCAGTAATAAATGCTCTTATTTTCCAGCAAAATAAATGCAGATTTTATTTGCCCTATTTAATTTTTTTTTTTTAATGCAGCACATCTATATGTATTTTTCTTAAATTCGTGGTAAAATGGACAAATGCATATGAATTGGAATTCTTCCATTAAAATGTTTTCACCTCACAAATTACTTCTTTTGGTATATTGTGGCAGTGTCTGATATTTTTTATCCCCTTATTATTTGTCTTGTTTTAAAATAAAGTTTTTATGTACAGACGCAACCTTGAATTATTCAACCAATTTCATGAATTAAATTATCCTTTAAATGTGTTTCAAAGTCTTTTTGCTGTTCACAAACGTATTCCAGTCTAAGGAATATCAGTAATTCTTTTACATTTGTGCCACAATTATTATACCCATTGCATGAAAGGAGATTGTCAACAATACCCCTTAAAATACAGTTTTGTGCTTAAAAAAAGGAATAAAAAAAATCCCAAAACTTCATTCTGTAGTGTTTTAATTGGAAGTTGGTCTTATTAATTATAAACTTAAATAATGCCTGCATGAAAATGTCACAGTTCTCTTCTTGGCACCTGTGGTAATTATATTGTATCATGTAAAGTAAAGTGAGTGGGTGTGACAGCTGCAGCTGTATCATACGCCTCAACTGACAGATGTTCTTTATAGGAAGAGGGTGGGAAGAGAACATGAACAATCCGAATGAAATGAAATTCCCTATTTTATATACTGAGTGAGCCACTGTCTGAACTGGCCATCAGCTGGTACATGTACCATCATTGACAGTGTTTGAGTGCACATTTTTATGTACAGACACAGATGTGTCTGTACATATTGCCATCACCTGCGTCTGTTGTCGCCGCCGATGCCGGCGCCGTGCACTTTCCTTGTAAACACGATAAGTGGAAGACAGTTTTACTTTTTGGCTTTATATTTACAGAGCTGATGAATATTCATAAGACGCAGGTCAAGTTCGAAAATCAGCATGATTGGGCTATTATTGTAGAAGTTATGCTGTTTTTTCACTTTTCAGCATATATGCAACTCTGTAAACACATTTAAAGGAAAACCGTTAGGTCTGTTGTCATGAAATTCACAGGAATAATCAATCTTACTAAAACACAGGTCAAGTTCGAAAATCGGCATGATCGGGCCACTATTTTAGTAGTTATGCTGTTTTTTTCATTTTTCAGCATATATGCAACACTGTAAACACAATATAAGAAAAACAGATGGGCCAATTGTCATTAAACTCACAGGACTGGTCAATTTTACTAAAATGCGGGTTGAGATTGAAAATTAGCATAATCGGGTCATTGTTTAAGAAGATATGCTGTTTTTTCACATTTCCTCAAATTCAATTCTTAGGCATGTTAACAGTCTCATTATTGAACTAATAAGCTACGTAAAAGTGTTTGTTTGACATTTCCTTCATCTTTACAACATTGTTAGCTGATCATGTAAAAATGATGGTAAACTTGTTATCGTGTAGTGTGTAATAAAGTGTCAAAAATGGAAATAAACTCATATCATTGCTGTTTGTCAGATTCAATCATTCACTATGTTCAGAATCTCAGAATGGAAGAAATTGGACATTTATCACTGTTCTATTGATATTTTTCACATCTCATCAATTTTCTTAGTTGATCATATAAAAATGGCGGTAACCTGTTAATTTTGTTTTATGTTAAAAAAGTGTTAAAAATGGAAATAAACCCATTTTAGAACAGTGCAGTCTTGTTTACATTTTGGCATTTTTAAGGTGTGACTTTGAAGTTCCATGGGCCTAAAAACCTTTGTTAGACACGTTTTCTGTTTGTCCATGATACTTATATTTTATTATTAAAAATTGATGGTCATAATGCTGTTAAACATTATGTAATATTGTATCAAAATTTAAAAAAAAAACTATTTTGGGCAGTGCTCCCATGATGACCATTTAAGAAAAATCATGTCACTTAATGTTCTCAAACAGTACAGTTAATATGTACAGATGTGTCTGTACATATTGCCATCACCTGTGTCTGTCGTCGCCGGCGCTGTCGCCAGCGCCGTGCACTTTCATTGTAAACACGATAAGTGGAAGGCAGTTTTACTTTTTGGCTGTATATTTACTGAGCTGATGAATATTAATAAAATGCAGGTCAAATTCGAAAATCAGCATGATGGGGCCATTATTGTAGAAGTTATGCTGTTTTTTCACTTTTCAGCATATATGCAACACTGTAAACACATTTCAAAGAAAACCTATAGGCCTGTTGTCATGAAACTCACAGGAGTAATTGATCTTACTATACACAGGTTAAGTTCGAACATTGGCATGATCCGGCCACTATTTTAGTAGTTACGGTAAAGTGCCATGAATTTCGAACAGCTCTTGAATTTCGAAAGATCTTAAAATCGGCTGTCTGGAGTTTTTTCTGGACCATGAATTTCGGCCAGTAAGCAATTTTGTGCGATTTTGATTTCGTGAATTTCGTACACCTTAAAATCGGCCACCGGGCTTTTTTCACGCTTATAAAGATCTAACAGTCGGCAATGTTGCCCTAGCGTACCTTTACCTGAGTACTACGTGTGCGGCCCAAGGTGCAAGATAACGATCGGTACAGTTAGTTTAGGACGCTAAACAACATCGTCATATCCATTCATTCAGATAACAGGAGAATCTATTAAGAGTTGTACTGTCGGGCTGTTGTTTCTTTACCGTAGTATTCGGTGTGAGATAGCGATCGGTAGTTTTGCTGAGGCGCACAATAGCATTGTTAACAGTAGAGACTTCAGTAACAGAACAAAAGAGCAATATTAAGAGCTGCAATAAAGATTACCATTATTGCTTTCTTGTCTCGCTCAGATCGTTCACGGTCTCCCGCTGACGATCTTCCGCTAATGAAGTCCCTTGAAATGTACAAAAGAAATGAAAAATATTTTTAAAAATTATAAATTCCAATGGGGAGGGAGGGTTAAAAACAATCGAGAACGATCTCCGGCTGATGATCTTCCGCAAACGAAAGCCACCGAACGAGTATGAGCTTTCTCGTTTCACCCGGATTGCAAACGATCTCCCGATGACGATACAAAAATTGCGTTCTCGTCTCGCCCTTTGACTTACGAAGTCTCTTTAACAAATATGAAAATTGCCTCCTGGTCTCTCTCGGATTGCGAACGATCTCTCGCTGAAAATTTGAAATATTTCTTTTTGTCAATCAGCTTTGTCAGTATGAAGGTCCGGAAGGTGTCCCCTTTTACAAATTGGCCTGTAGTTTGCTTAGAGTGTTTTGTGCCGCATGAAGGTCACTCTTGTCACTGCTGCATACGGCGTGGAATGTGTATCTTAAGAGCGCGTCCATGAGAAAGCCAGACAGATCAGTCAGAAGGTGGCAAGGTGGGGGTCAGCAGATTTTAATAATTTTTGGTGTGGTAAACCATCAACATAAAAGATATTGTGAGCCACTGGCTTTCTTATTTTGGATCATTAGTTTTAGAGATATGGGGGCAGATCTTTTATTGGCAATTTTGCCAAAATATAGCACTTTTTAGCTCTTGAAAAGTTATAATTTTAAATATTCTTTTAAAAAATCATGTACAGCATAAGGAATTATTAAGGTAAGCCACATGATAGGTTAAGGAAAGACCTTTAATACCCAGTACAGATTTTTTGAAAAGGCACTGTCATGACCACACAAGGTTGATTCTAATAAGGCATGTTTTCCGTATGCTTGACCCCCTCCCCTTCTTTAAATGCACACAACTTCTTTTTTGCAGGTTTTATCCATATAATTTTGGTATGTGCTGATAGAAAAGGGTTGAAAAATAAATTTTGTAAAATAAAATCTGTGTTAAACCTTGTAAAATAAGAACTACAACAATTTTAAAAAGGGCCTAAAAACGAATATTTTTATACTACTTAAATG